CTACTCTACTCTCTCTCTCTCTCTCTTCTCTCTCTCTCTCTCTCTCTCTCTCTCTTTCTCTCTCTCTTACTCTCTCTCTCTCACTGTCTCGCTCTCGCTCTCTCGCTCTCTCTCAATCTCGCGCTCTCTCTCTCACTCACTCTCTCAATCTCTGTCACGTGTGTGTAGGATGTCCAGGCACGCGTATTGCTTGAAGGTCAAACACCGTGTTTCATCATCGTCTGTCTGACCCATAACGGAGCGTGACGTCACACATCCCCTGTGTCGCGGTGTCACCCGCCTATTGACTGCCGTGTTGTGACAGCCTGCGGGTAGGTTGCGTACGGTGCCGAGAGGTGGCAGCACCGACCACGTCTGCAGACGACCGACGGCGGCGGCGTTTCGATGCGACGACTCATGTTGTTGTCAGTAGATGGCAGCACGCTGCATAATGATGGTCTTGAGCGAGTGACGGTCATTCTAGTTATATTCTACTTCTAATCTACATTCTACTTCTATTCTAGTTCTATTATAGTTCTAGTTCTAGTTCTATATGGTGACGGTGTGCGCGTGTGTGCGTGCGTGTGCGCGCGCGTGTGTGTGTGCGTGCGTGCGTGTGTGCGTGCGTGTGCGTGCGTGTGGGTGCGTGTGTGCGTGCGCGTGCGCGTGTGTGCGTGCGCGTGGGCGTGTGTGCGTGCGCGTGCGCGTGTGTGTCCGTGCGTGTGCGTGCGTGTGCGTGCGTGTGGGTGCTATCTTTTGTGTCTGTTTACCTACTGTCTAGTTTATCATCCTGTATGATGTGAGTCATCGCTGCCATTTATTTATTTATTTATGTATTGCAATTGCTACAGCATATATATTAGGGCTGTAACGATCCACCGAAATCGAATCGGATCGAGATTCTCTTCCCTCGATCCGATCCTAGATATTTTTCCCCGTATTTTCGATTCCACTTTGATACCACTTTTTTCCTCTAATAGATGGCGGCACTACGCTATATACTGTGGAGCAAGGCTTGTGGAATGTTTGTTACCATAGCATATAAATCACTGATGTATATGCTCTGGTGTTACTCACCAATGGGGTACTCAGCGACTGTGCAGACTCTAGTCTATTTACCATTTAGTATTCATTGGCAATTTCTAATAATTTATTATTGCAAAATAATGAAAATGTAAAAAATAAGATAACATTTCAATATTTTGGGAATCGAATCGAAGGAATCGAAGGAATCGAATCGAGAGGCTAATAT